CGTGGTCCATAATGATTTGCTATAGGTGCCGCTGCCACAGTGGCGGCTCCTATCCAAGCTTGTGAAGCAAAATGTAGACAGTTACATGCTATGTGCCCCGTTTGATGGCAGGTATACCACCCATCAGTTCTGATGACGGGTGCTGCAGCAGGACCCCCGACTGTTTGTACAGGCTGTTTTTTTACAGGATACGTCGGGGTTCGAACAGTGATAGGGCGCATCAATCGCATTAATGTTTCCATCCTGGCGTTGTACTCTTTGTGTTCTTTCTTGCTTTCTTGCATCAGGTTCAACAGAGCTATGAATCCCCCCTGGAGGCGGCCATGCGCGGCCTAGGCGGCAACCCCGCAGCCATGGCCACGGTCCGGGGCCCTGAAAAAAAAAAAAATCAAAAAATTCTGAAAAAACATATGTTATGCAGAAAAATATACTGAACGACTTTTGCCTTGTGGTCATATCCAAAAACGTTACCGAATTTAAAATAAAGAAACACATAAGTTTCATAGTTTTTCATTAAAAAAAAAAAAAAAAAAAGTTTTTGCCACAGAAAAATTAGTTTTTGAATTTTTAAAATTCAACGACGAAGTCAAGAAATAAAATAAAAAATTAGATGTCGAAAAGATCTACAACACCATTTTTTTTTTGTTTTTTTTTTGAGAATTTTTTGAAGTCTAAAACAATTTCTGAAAGTCGCGGCCGCAGCCATCCGTGGTCGGAGCCGCGGTGAGCGTGATCACGACCGCCCTCCAAGTTGGACCCCACGGCCACGACCACGGGTGATACATAGCACCAGTCAGTTCTAACACTGTGCCGGAAAAGTCCGTCTTTCCTATTGTGCCGGAAAAGTACGTCTTTCCTACTGTGATTATGGGGGGTGGTTGTTGATGGTCCTGTGGTTGGGTCGGAAAGAGGTCTTTTTGCTGCTACCTGCTCCAGGAAGATGATCGAGCCTGATTCGAAACCCATGTTCTCGAATTCGTGCTAGAGTGCGGCTTATTTTGTTGTCGCCCTAGCTAGTTCTGTAGAATCCCCATCTTTAGCGTGATCTTCCTCTTCGAGGAAGTTGGCGGCGAACTTTCGTTTGATCTCTTCTGCCTCGTCCATTATTTGCTGCATGGTATGATTGATGGGGAAGAATTGTTTTCGAAGTTTGACCCACATTGCGCGGCTTCTAAGCCCATCGATGAATAAATCTCTCCCCTTCTTTTTGTCCCGTTCAGATTTTTCAACCATTTTGTAGAACTGGCTTCGGTATTCGGCAATGGACTCAAGAGTTTTTTATAATCGGTCCTTGATCATAAAGAAGGCCTGTTCGGGATGAATGTAATAAAACCTATGCAAGAAATCCTTTCGGAGATCGGGAGATCGATCCAGACGAAAGTACTGAACCAATAGTGTGTATCTCCTCCCAGACGGGCGGGGATGTTGATCGTGGCTTCGTTGTTGTCATATTGTTGTGCTTGGAGCGTGGCAAGCCACGCTCCGGCTAGATGGTCAGATGGTCTGTCGAGTCGAAGAGATACAAATCAGGAGGGACAGCAGGTGCACAAACTCGCGCTGGTTGTGGAGGCACGAGTCCTATTGGATTCGACACTCCTTGTGTCGGGTTAGCATTAGGAGCAGGATTAACCTTCATGTTGCCCGCCTGACATCCTGCTCACCGACTCCGAGTAACAACCGGATCGCGGACCAGAGCGTTTCTTTGCCGAGATCGTCCTCGCCTATGGCTCACCAGATCGGTCAAGCTATGGAGCCAGATCACTTGTTAGTGCTTCATCTTGACACGTGTTGGCTTTGATACCAACCTCACGCCCAACGCGACTTCCTGTTTTCGGAATGGAAGGTGCCCAAAAGTGTGTAGTAGGGGTGTGCCAAGGATTTTAGGAACGTGGGGGTGGAGTCCCGGGCTGAAACTGAGATTTCCGGTGCCAAGTTTCAAGGACAGGAATGGAAGTGGTTCAGCGTAAGACCAGATTTTTTGTCTTGCCCTTCTCAAAGCCGAGTGACTGATTTCGCTGGCCCCGTCGTCCGGGGCGGGTTCGTACTTTGTGTACTGAGGGAACGTCGTGGGCGTTCCTCTGTGTAAACACTTGTTCTCGGTAGGTTTTGCAGATCTCCGAATCTGACGTGGACGACCTCAACCAGAGACTTTGTTCTAGGCTCTCAGCTTCCTAACGGGTTCGTGAGAGAAATTCCGTAGCTCGATAGGTGTAGTATTGTTGGGACTCAAAGCATTGCCTTCGAGGCCAGTAGGGGGCTAGTGACTCCCAAGGAACAACTATTAAATTGTGATAAGGGAGAAGAAGATAGAATGGAGGGAAGTTGGTTTCAAGGATGACGAATCCCGGTGTTATGTAGGAGAGGTGGTTACGAGTATCAGTGTAATCCGAGATTCGAGAGTTCTGTCAGATGGCCCCTTGGAAGTCCCAGGCACACAGGCTATCGTTCTCAGTTTAAAATGGGTAAGCCGGGAGGCTTAAGTTCGATCGTCGGAAGAGTTGTTCGTTTTCCCAGTATTCTCGCAACTCAGGGTCCCTTAAACTGCCACTATTGGTGATCCAGAATGGAACGCCGACGTCCATATTTTACAAAAAGGACATAGCCCATTCATTTGTGTGTAGCAAGCACGATCTGGTCGGGAACGGATCATGCAAACATGCGTATACGTGATGACTGTCATTCTGGTGGTCATCCGTATGCGAGCGTGCACGTGATCTGTTTTCAACAGAATTCGAGCCAATTTGTAATACATACATCTAATCTACTCTAGGTATTAAAGAAACACTACCCGCATACTTTGTGCAAATCAGACAACCGTTCGATGCAATCATTCATCAACTTACGGTCAGAAGGACAAAGAAAGGGAATGATATTCCCATACATCAGATGCCAATCGCGTATGGACCATGCACGAGGAAGATCCAACCCCTTCCTAGGCGCGAGCACAAACTCTAAACTGCCGTTTATGCATGCATTTATCCTAACCCAGGTTTATTCAAGGAGACAACTTCTACAGGTTTAACGCGGAAATAGACAGTCGATCGATGTTACGTACACAAGTACATGGGCATTCAAAATGGCCGGATTCCATACATCCTTCCATACGTCAACATGATGCCTACTCCATACACACCATAATCCCTTGGCTCGGCGATCGACAACCCTTCATGCTTTCAAGTCATTCAATCAATCAATCAACTTTTGCAATCGCCATACATTCCGCACTGAAAAAGAAGAAATGGGGGAGAGGAAGATAAGCCATACATCAATCAGAGAAAATAAAATTCGAGAGTGTCACAAACAAAGAGTGTCGAAGCTAGAAATCAAAATTATGCAGAAGATGTGAAGAGATAATACCACTTCAACACCTCTCTCTCTCTCTTTCTCTTTCTCTCTCTCTCTCTCTCTCTCTCTCTCTCTCTCTCTCTCTCTCTCTCTCTCTCTCTCTCTCTCTCTCTCTCTCTCTCTC